TCACTACAAAAAAAAGAAAGAAAGAAAGAAAGAAAGAAAAACTTAAATAGATGTACTGTTTGATGAAACTCAACATATATTCAATATAGATACTTCCAGCAAATTAGAACAGAATGAAATGGCTTACTCCGATAGTCAGTGTATTTAAAAATATAGTAAATATACTGGTGAAATGTTGAATTTTTTTCCATTTCTCATCAGTGATAAGTCAAAAATGTCCACTAAGACAATCGTACCAGATGGGTCTGCCCAATGCCATAAAATCACAAAGGAAATAAAACTCTTCAAAATGAGTGGCTGAGATGAGAGGATTGCTTGAGCCTGGGAAGCAGAGGTTGCAGTAAGCACACACTGCACTCCAGCCCAGGTGACAGAGTGAGACTCTGTCTCAAACAAACAGACAAACAAAAGAAGCCAGAGAATTCAGAATTTAACAGGATCTAACAATAGGCATTCAGATCTCCACACCGCTGGGGAGTGCTCAACAGCCCACAGCCTTCCCAAATGCCAGAACCATTCTTTACCACCCGCCAAGCCTCCCTCTACGTCCCCACTCCCAGGGCCCCATTCAAGACTCAGGGATCTGCCCTGTGTTAGCGGTTCCCGGCACCTCAGGACTTCCATCCCGCCAATATCACCCACAGCACTTGCCCCATCTTCACCTTGACTTCCATGGCCCACCTTCCTCCCTTTCCTGGCCCCTTCAAAAACACAAAGCCAATTGTGGCCTTGCAGCCTGTGAAGAGAAGGAAGATTATCTCATGGCCCTGCTCTTTCAAGGTCAGGAGGCCCTTCTCCTTTAAGAGACCACAGACCACGCAGCAGGACCCGCTGGACCCGCCTGATGCTCACTGCCTCCTCCTCACCCTCACTCACACTTCAGCCCTCAGGAGGACTGCCATGCGGGCCTACCAGATGAGTCTCAGTAAAAGAAAAAGTGTCCAGACGGCAGGAACAGGGTCCTCCCAGCTCCCTAGAGTTCTCCAAGTGGGCGAACACGCTGAGCGGAAGACAACTAGGGAACATGCGCACTGAGACGGGAGCCCAAGGAGCACGTGCAGCTGGGGGGAAGGGAGTGCTGCCTTTCCTAGCCCCATACCCCAAACTCCTGATTCCCATCTCCACTGAGGATAATGGAATCCGACCTCCTTCTGCTGTTTCCTGTGCCTCGGGGACTCAAATACCTCAAATAGTGCTTCCCTCAAAACTCACTCCATCTTCAACTGAAGCCCCCGCCCCTACAGGACCCTCTCTTGCCCTGGCCTCACCATGGGGACAAGGACCATGGTGACTGACTAGAAAGACAGGTAGACCACCTGCTAAAACAGAAATAACGACCTATCCCAAAAAGAAATTGTTCAACATGAACAAGTCACAGAAAGAGACTGAAAGAAAAATGAATACAAGCTCAAGCGCCTGTAGGAAAATACTAAAACGTCTATCATTTATAGCATCAGAATCACAGAAGTAACAGTACCAGGAAAACAAGAGCCTAGGACAGCCAGAGTGACATCATTTGAAAATCAACTCCATCTTGAAACTAGCAAGACACATTCCTTACCAGTCACAACCCATGGCCCTAACATGTTTGTAGTTGAGAAAACAGTCTAAAGGTACTTATAAGGACATGGTCCCACAGCAGTGAAAAGTGCAGGGGTCCCAACACCCATAGCAATGTATGCTTTAAAAATCATTATGCTTTCATGTACTTACACACTGGAAAGTCAAGGACAGTTTTCTTTAAATTAATAGAATGATAAATTTCATCATGCTGTTAGCCCACCCTCAAAAAGGTACAGATAAGGTTAGTCTTTACATGGGTAAGACCCCGATATAAGAAAAACCTGGCCAGGCCAAGGCTCATGCCTGAAATCCTAGTATTTTGGAAGGCTGAGCTGGGCATATCGCCGGAGTCCAGGAGTTCAAGATCAGCGTAAGCAACATGACAAAATCTCATCACTACAAAAAGAAAAAAAAAATAGAAAAATTAGCTGGGCATGGTGGGATGTACCTATAGCCACAGCTACTCAGGAGGCTGAGGTGCAATTATTGCTTGGGCCCAGAAGGTCAAGGCTGCAGTGAGCTCGGATAACACCACTGGACTCCAGCCTGTGTGACAGAGTGAGACCCTGTCTCAATTTTTAAACATACAATATAAAAAAGCACAAATGTATCAACCTAATTCATTACATTAACAGATTAATAGGAAAAAATTCCTTGGTAATCAAAATAGATGCACTGTTTGATGAAATTCAATATATATTCAAAATGAATACTCTTAGCAAATTAGAACAGAATGGAATGACTTACTCTGATAAAGTCCAAACTACTATAGAAAATATGATGGTGAAATGCTTAAATATTTTCATTTTTCAGCATGAATAAGACAAGGGTGTCCACTATCACCATTGTACCAGGTGGGTCTGCCCAATGCCATAAATTCAGAAAAGGAAATAAAACTCTTCAAAATGGCAGCAGCAGGCCTGGTGCGGTGGCCCATGCCTGTAATCCCATCATTGTGGGAGACTGAGAGGGGTGCATCACTTGCACTAAAGAGTTCAAGAACAGCCCTGGAAACATATCAAAACCCCATCTCTACAAAAAATACAAAAGGAAATAGAAAAAAATGGCAGAAACAAAACTGCTCTTATTCAAAGATGATATGACTCTGTATGTTGAAGACTGAAAAGCATCTAGAAGTAAACTTTTAGAATTCATAAGCATATTTAACAGGTTGCTGGATAGAAAACTCCATATATAAGTATTAGGTCTCTACATACCACCTCAAACAGAATATAATATTTCAAAGAATGATATATATTTCACAGCATCAAATACTTAGAAATAAAGTTTACAAAAGATGTGCAAGACTTCTTTGCAGAAGGCTGTAAAGCTTTATTGAGAGAACTTTAATGAACAACTTTCCAACATGAAAGGAGCATCATTTCAGCGTGTCTTCTTTTAAGGCTGTGATTGCTTTTCAGCTGTAACAGAAACACAACAGTTGGGAACATGACTTAGCAACAGATAATTCAAATGACCCTAAAGGCATACAAAGCACATTACACTTTGGGTTTTCTAAAATGGACTAAAAACAGAACCCCAAGGGTGATTCTGTGTCTTACATCCAGTTAAACCTCTGTACACACTTTGAGGGTAGACCTGCAGAACTTAAGGGTAATTTCCTCCCTAAACATCAAGTGCTTCCTTTAAATTCAAAAGCACTTATAATTAACAGTCAGTAATTCAGAAAACACATGTGAAAAACATACTTCAGTTGATTACTCAGAAAGTATTCAAGTCATGGTCTTTGAACTTCAAATCTTATCAACTCATGTCTCAAAAGCTGAAACTTACATATAACATTTGATATGGTTAGAGGTGATTGTATCATATATGTGTCTACAGTGTTCTTAGAAATAGCCTCATGAAGACTGACAGTAGGGAAGGGAGGGTGTTTAACATCTTTTTTTTTTTTTGGACACTGAGTCTTGCTCTGTCACCCACGCTGGAGTACAATGGTGCGATCGCGGCTCACTGCAACCTCCGCTTCCCGGTTCAAGAGATTCCCCTGCCTCAGCCTCCCGAGTAGCTGGGATTACAGGCACCTGCCAAAACGCGTGGCTAATTTTTGTATTTTTAGTAGAGATGGGGTTTCACCATATTGGCCAGGATAGTCTTGATCTCCTGACCTCGTGATCTACCCACCTCGGTCTCCCAAAGTGCTGGGATTACAGGCGTGAGCCACTGCACCCAGCCCAGAAGAATCTTACTTGCACCCATGCTAAGCATCACTGATCAACATGCCACAGATAATAGAAAGTAAACAGTCTCTCGCCACTTGATAATTCAGTCACTTAAGGTTTTCTTGAAAGAATATTGAAAAAGCGATTATTCATTAATAGCCAGAGAATCCAGGCCTGGACAACATAGTGAGACCTCATCTCTATAATAAATTAAAAAAAAAAAAAGAACAAAAACAAAAACAAAATTAGGCACAGTAGCTTGTGCATGTAGTTCCAGCCACTCAGGAGGCTGAGGTGGGAGGATTGCTTGAGTCTGGGAGGCAGAAGTTGCATTGAGCTTAAATCGCACCAGTGTACTCCAGCCCAGGTGACAGAGTGAGACTCTGTCTCAAACAAACAAACAAAAAAAAGAAGCCTGAAAATTCAGAATTTGACAGGATCTAACAACAGGCATTCAGGTCTCCACACAGAAAAACAAACATGAAGCAGAGTGCCTGCTCACTTTCTTCGTAGCAATGAAATCTCAATTCACAGGTTTGCAGATGACACAGGCCAGGGTTTCATGATTTATGAAAAAGAAATCATACAAACAGATGATCTCTATATCCTATGCATTCTATTCAACAGGGTCAGAGTGTGAAAGAAGCAATGTGTTATGTATTTGTTCAAAGCAGACCTTTACAAAAGCATCTTATAATTAGGGACTATTGGTTTAAGGACTTAAAATCAAATGTTTTCATTCAAGATGACTTTGACTCAGTGTGTTTCTATATCTGACAGTCTAGAGGTCAGGTGCTGGGGCCTAAACTATGTTTCAAATAACCTTTATGTTATAAGAACTCAATTATTAAGGAGTCAGTACTGTTACCTCTCTGTTATTAAAAATGTAATACTGGGTCAGGCAGGGAGGCTCACGCCTGTAATCCCGGCACTTTGGAAGGCCGAGGCAGGTGGATCACCTGAGGTCAGGAGTTTGGGACAAGCCTGTACAACATGACAAAAGCCCATCTCTACTCAAAATACAAAAATTAGCTGGGTGCATTAACACACGCCTGTAATCCTAGCTACTCGGGAGGCTCAGTCAGGAGAATCACTTGACCCTGGGAGTTGAAAGTTCCAGTAAGCTAAGACGGCACCCCTGCACTCCACCCTGGGCCACAGAGTGAGGTTCCATCTCAAAAACAATAAAAGAAGAAGAAGGTAATACTGTGGAAACAGACACCCTACAATTTGCATGCCTCATAAATTGCCTACCTGCTTCTGGCGGTTTCACCTGCTCTGGATTTGGCAGGCGCTTCTCCTGGACATCAGGACCATCTCCACGCTCACATCCAGTCTTCGGGTGAACCTGCTCCTGGCTATCAGCTTCAGGCTCCCGCCCTTTAAAATTAAAAAAAAAATTATCAATTTAAGCAGTAAAACATGAAATATGAATAAGGAAATCATATTCATGCTCTCAGTGTATTAAATAAAAGATTTAGCTAGTGTCATAATAAATGTGTTCATAACAATCCCAGGAACATTATTTCAGGAGTCTGTTAGCAGAAAACAGGAAAACAGGGTTTTCCAAATATTACCCTCTTCTGAAGACTGTCGTCACACAACATTGTTGCCTCCTTTGCACCGCTCTGTTATTGGCCTTCTGAGTGTCCTTATCATATTAAATGACTCAAGGCAGAAATCCTGTCTCTCATAGCACTTACACTCCCAACACTTAGACTCTTATATGGCCTGAGTAGCCACCAATAAACGCTGAGTGAAAAATCTTTAAATCATACAAGAAAAAGCCCAAACTGCTGAACATTCTGCAAACCAACGGATCTATCCTCTTCAAAAACATCCGTATCATGAATGACAAAGAAAATTAAGGAACCATTCACGATTAAAGGAAAGTAAAACCACATGATAAGCATATGCAATACGTGATCCTGAACTGAACTCTGCATTAGAAAAAGAAATTCTATAAAGGAAATTATCTGGGCCAGACGTGGTGGCTCACGCTTGTAATCCCAGCATTTTGGGATGTCAAGGTGGGCAGTTCGGGTGGGGTCAGAAGTTCAATACCACCCTGGCCAACGTGGTGAAACCCCATATCTACTAAAACTACAAAAAAAAGAAGAAACATTAGCCAGGCGCAGTAGTCGGCAACTGTAGTCCCAGCTAATCAGGAGGCTGAGGCATAAGAATCCCTTGAACTTGGGACGTGTAGGTTGCATTGAGCCAAGATAGCAATACTGCACTCCAACCTGGCCAATAGAGTGAGATTCCATCTCAAATAAAGAAAGAAAGAAAAAACATTGTCTGAATAATTGGGAAAATCTGAGTACACGCTGTGTATGAAATGACTGCATTTTCACATTGTTAAATTTCCTGATTTTGATCTTTGTGCAGTGCTGATCCAAGGAATAACTTGTTCTTTCTTCTGATGACATACACACACTCAAGTACATAGAGTAAAGGGTCATAATACCTGAAGTTTTATCTAAACAATTCACCATTAATAACAATAAACATAATATCCATGAGCGTGTGTGCAAGTGTGTGGGCAGCAGGGTAAGACAGGGAGGGTAGATATATCAAACCAATGGAGCAAAAGCTATTAACAATTGGTGAATCTAGGTGAAAAGTATATGAGTTAATTGTACTATAACTGCAAATTTTCTATAAATGTTATGTCTTGAAAATATACGAATGAAAATTTAGAGGACTATATGACAACTACACTAAATTTGGGTAGACAGTTTTTTTGTTTGTTGTGGTAAAAAAAAAAATACACGACATAAAATTTACCATCTTAACTATTTTTAAGTGTCACAGTTCAGGAAGGAGCTGTATTTGCAACATTACCAGCAACTAGGAACAAACTTTCTATGTTTGTTTTTCTATATCATGAAACCTTTACGTATTTCTTTATTTGTTAGCAATGAGGTTTCACTATGTTTCCCAGGCTGGGCTTGAACTCCTGGGCTCAAGCAATCCTCTCACCTCAGCCTCCCAATTAGCTGGGACTATGTGTGCATGGCATTCAGCCCAGGTTGAGACCTTTCTCTCAAATGACAGTCTAAGGATAAACCACAGGACTTGTACAATGCCTATATTCAGCCATAAAGTACTAAAAGCAGTGGGCATCAGCTAAGAAATCTGAAGACTACAACATGGATAGGAATTCTGTTATAATTACAATTTAAATTTCTGAGGATTCATTAGCTGATTGGATTTGAAGACTATGAAAAATCTTCCATTCATGACATCCATTACCTATTGGTATAAAGAGAAATGTAAATTTCTTCAAATAAAGTTATATTTAGGTCCAAAGGTCCTAAATGTAATATTCCATAAATGAACCACATGTAGAACAAAGCACCAAAATAGCATGGTTTGTGAATCACAGCAAATATACTGTCCTGCATGGAGAATAAGGGAGTGGGTGGACAGCAATTAATGGGCATTGTTGTCACTCATAGTCTAGAAACTGTTAACAGTGAATCCCTAGAATAATCCATGATCTGAGTTACATAAATGATTTGTTTCAAACTATTTTATCTAGGAGAAATTATTTCTATCTCATGTTAATCTCAGGAAGGATAATTCTTTTTTTTTTTTTTTTTTTTTTTTTTGGTTTTTCTAATCATAACAGGATCGAATCACATCCTAAACCCACTTGGAAAATCATACTAAACCAGCTACCTGTATGGCAGTATCCTGATTTATCCAGTTTTTAATAAACTTACCATATAAAAATAACAATCAATGGAAACAGTGGCCAACATTCAGCGACTTGGTTTTTAGAGTTGCTCCTGCTCTTCTGAGCTGGGTCTATTCTTGGGACAGTACTAAGCTACTTTACAGTAAAAAACGAAATAAAAATTTTGCATTCACCACTCAACTGTTCACGACCCCCAAGCCTTCATTCTCTTATTCATAAAGTGGACACACTTTATCATAGTGAGGGGTTTCCCTAAGCTAAGCTGCAAACTATACACCCTCCTCACTTTTCCAGTCCATTTCAGGTATTCTTTCCATTGTTTTACTTCCTCCTGTTCCTGCTATGTGACAATGCATGACACACATACACATACACACATCCCAAGAGTCATTCTTCTTCCCTTTCCATTCACCTTGACCTGCAGATGCTCCCTCATCCTCTCCCTCCTGAGCAGGTGCAGGATCCTGACTTTCAGTTGCTGGTTCCCCTTCTTCAGGTTTTGGTGGTTCCAATTCTTCATCACTGAACTGCTCGGGCTAGGAAGTGTGTGTGTGTGTGTGTGTGTGTGTGTGTGTGTGCGCGCGCGCGCAAATAAAAAAAAGATTTGTTATTAATACATGATTATACAAATATACACAGAATACAGAGATATATCTGATCATAACTAGCCTAAAGACATTTCTCCAACTCTATTGTCTATGCTCAATAAGGTTACTCTACCCACAGGAAGGTTACTGTGAGAAAAGTGACTCACAAAGACTTTGGAAGCTATCATATTCTGTGTTGGAATCGCTGTGTACAATCTGTCATTAACAAGCAAAGTGGCCGGGCACAGTGGCTCACACCTGTAATCCCAGCACTTAGGGAGGCCGAGGCAGGTGGATCACCTGAGGTCAGGACTAGCCTGACCAACATAATGAAACCCCACCTCTACTAAAAATACAAAAAAAGTTGGGTATGGTGGCAGGCGCCTGTAATCCCAGTACTTGGGAAGCTGAGGCAGGAGAATCACTTGAACCCGGGAGACGGAGGTTGCAGTGAGCCGAGATTGCCCAATCACACTCCAGCCTGGGCAACATGAGAAAGAAGTCATGGGCAAAAGCTGAAGAACACAAGAGAAAAACAAAATCCTCCTGAGTCAATGTTTCCTTCATGAGATGCCATAATCATTTTTATCAGCATGTAAGAATTTTATCAGTGTCTATATACTAATGCAACAACACTATCACAAATATTAATTTCTGCTAATAGAAAACATCAAACTAACATTAAAGCACTCACCAGCATAGGCCCAATCACCTCAGGAGGTTCCACATAGCGTCTTGGTCTAGGCTGATAGGTTGATCTTCCTCGCCAACTCATATTTCACACTGAAACACTGAAAACAGAAAACCGTGATTGGGAGCATGCACTTGAGAGGACAGCTATATTTTATCACCTCCATGGCTAAATTTTAATTTGTCATTGTATTTTTGAACATACTCTCACAATAAGTCCCACAGTTAAGCATACGTGTGTACCTTTTCTGAGTACCTGCAAAGCCACTTATGCTGGCCATGCTGGCAGAACAATCATCTTAAGGTGTGTGGCAAAAGGCAGAGGACATTATTTTCTAAATTTCTTTTGAACACGCAGTCTGGCTCTGTTGCTCAGGCTGGAGTGCAGTGGCGAAATCACACCACACTACAGCCTCGACCTCTCTGCTCAAGGGAACCGCCCTCCTCAGATGAGGTTTAGTTTCACAAATGGACTCCACATAAAAATACCAGTGAATCACAAATTTGTGACTGTTGCTTTTGGCACACTCCTACTTACTAGAGCCATTCACGCCCCTCAAATCAAGCTTGCTTGGACTCCACAGCCTTGCCCAGTCCTTCCCATTGTTTCCAGACCTTCCATGGTAGAGGTGAGACCTTGCATGGCTTCTCACTCTGGCACTCCCACTCCACGCCGCTGGGGCTGCTCACCAGGCCGCAGCCTTCCCAAACGCCATGCCCCTTCTTTACCGTGTGCCTCACCCCCATCTCCCTGCCCTACCACCCAGGACCCCATTCAAGACTCAGGGATTTGCCCTGTGTCGGAGTTCCTGGGACCTCGGAACTTTCATCCCTCCAACATCACCCCCAGCACGCGTCCCATCTTCAACTGAATCCCTGACTGCCTCCCCTCTGCAGCCCACCTTCCTCCCTTTCCTGGCCCCTTCACAACCACAAAGACAATGGTGGCCTCACAGCCTGTGAGGTGGAGGAGGATGGCCTCAAGGACCTACTCTTTTGGACATCAGGAGGCCCTTCTCCCTCGGAGGCCAAGAGGCTCTTCTCTTTCAAGAGCCACGAGGCCATTTCCCATCAAAGGCCACAGGCCATGCAGTGGGACCCACCAAACACGCCCGACGTCCACTGCTTCCTCCTCAGCCTCACTCACACTTCAGCCCCCGGGAGGACTAGCCTGCGGACCTACCAGATGAGTCTGAGTAGACAAAAAAGAGCCCAGACAGAGGGAACACGACCACACACCCTCACAAGTACCTGGCGTTCTCCACGCTCGCGAAGGAGCTGACCGGAAGACGCCCAGTGAGCGTGCGCACTGAGGCAGGAGCCCAAGGAGCAAGCGCACCTGGGGGACGGAGAGGGGAGGGCTGCCATTCGCACCCACACACCCCAAGTCCCGGATT